GGGGGGGTCCTGGCTCCTGGAAGTGTCCGGAGCACAGACCATTTACACAACAGCAAGCAAACAACCTTCCAGGTCAGAGATCTGCCTTGACATACACCCTGGGGTCAAGTCCAAGGCCTGACCGCTGGTGCTGGCTGGTCACAGGGAGGAAAGGAAGTTTCACAGATGTAATTCTGGACCTCCAGCTGGGACCCTAAGTCCCACCTTTGGCTTGGGCATGGCACAGTGTCAGCAGCAGTCCTGAGAGACTTTAAAGAAAGATTATAGGGCCAGGCATGGAGGCACACACCTGTAATCCCAGCACTCGGGAGGCTGAGGTAGGAGGACTGCTGTGAGTTCAAGACCAGCCTAGGCTACATAGTGAGTTCCAGGTCAGTCTCAACTACATAGTGAGATCTTGTCTCAAAAAACTAAAAAAAAAAAAAAAAAAAGAAAGAAGAAAGACTATAGGAATAAAGCTCTGGGATTCCAGGATCAAGATTTGGTAGATATTTCTGCTGTGTGACACAAGATGAGTGACAGGCACCTTGGCTATGTCCATAGGAGAACCTTGATTCACTGATTCACACACTAACTTAAACCAAAGTCCCCAACTCTATAACTTGCCCTTCCAACTTCCCCAGCCTGGCTTTCTATAGGGTTCACAAATGGCTGATACATACTTAGCCCACAATTAGCTTGCACACTACTGACAGGCAATAAAAATTGAAGCTCGTCTTCAAATTATGCAGTTATGCTTCTGCAGTGGGTCCACAGTCGGTCTTCACGTGCAGTCATTGATTCATACAGCTTTCAGAGTGAAGCCTCAATGAAGACTGAGGTACAAACAGGGAAAGTTAGGAAAGCACTTGGTGCACAGGGAGGCAACCTCCACCTGCAGTCTCCTGCTTTGAAACTCTGAACCGCCCAGCCCCCTGGCTCTCTGTCCTTCAGCCCTAATGTGGTACAGAGATCCTACCCAGGCCTTCTTCTCCAAAGGCATGGTCAAGGGCTAGACCCCCAGCTACAAACTTCTGACCACCAGCTTCCTTCACAGGATGCTCAGAGTTATGACTTCAGTTTCTTCTTTTGTACATAGGCTTAAAAGGAATCCTTTATTTTACAATTAACTCCATTTCTCCCAGGCTAAATGGCAGAATCAGAAAGTGAAGCTGGGTAGGTAGTTTGTCTCAATCCTAGACTGAAGTCAGAATAGTGGCTGTGGGTGACATTTAGAGAGAGGAGTTGTTGCAGGAATGTCAGGTGCTGAGAACAAGTCCTATTCATGCTTGAGCTTATGGAGAAGTCTTCATGCCCTGGACAAGCAAGAAGAAGGAATCAGCAAGGCATCTCCGAGGGGTAGGGCGTGGGGTGAGGTTATGAGCCAGAGAGGACATTGCCTGGGTGGCATGGAGAGCTGCCATGCAAGGGTGTAAGGCTGGTAATGAAGAAATGGGATGGTGGGTAGGTGGCAGAAGGAACAAACAGAAGCCACCTGGGGGAGGATGGAACACTTGAGTTGGCCTTGCAAGTCTGCATCTCCCATTCTTTAATGCTGGCAAAGAAGCTCTGGTCCACCCTGGGTCTTGTGCTATTTTACAGCTACAGACATAGTATTAGAAGGGAGACATTTATCCCAGGGAAGGTCTGCCTTTCATAAAACAAAGTGTCAGAGCGACCAGTCAGTTCCCTCTTCTTTGTCTTGGCTGTAAGAAAATTTAGATGGAAGTCTTCTGCTTGGTCACAGTAACTCCTGTTTTGGGTCATCTTTGGTTATCTTTGGTCATCTGAATCATCTTTTTTCTGAGTTTCTAGCCTATCTTTTTCTATTTGCTTTAATTCATGGTTTCATTGGTGCTTCTAAATTTTAAGCCGTTTCCCACAACTTTGGCAAACAGATCTGAACGGGAAGAAGAGACTCGTTCATCACAAAAACACTCTGCTCCTAGTACCCAAGTATAGCACCTTGACAAGAGCCTCGTGGGACTGAAAACGCAGCCATGTGACAGTCTCGGTGTGCTAGAGGTCTAGAGCTCAAGCTCTGCCACCTCCTCCCTGATGGTCCAATGCTTATACACGTCCCACCACCCAGGCCCCACCCCTTCCTGAATAGTCCTGCAGCAGGAGACCAGCTGGCTGGAAAAAACACCACTCACACTCACTTTTCAGGGGCCAATCAGTTCATCCATTTGTAATTTTTTTAACATATCCATTCAACAAATATTCATCAAGCACTTATTAACTACAAGGTGTTTTTCCTTGGCTCAGGACTGTGCTTCTAGCAAAAGCAGTGTGGCTTTCCCCCGGGCTGACCAGATGCCTGCACCCCATTATCAGCTTCTCTTCACTTCTTCATCCCTAGGATAAATATGTCCCCTCCATACTCTCCACAGAGGAATAGCTGAACACTGGGCAAGGGGAAAAGTAGTACCAAATTCTCTTCTGAAGCATCAGCAAGCCCATCAAAAGCCAGGAAGGAGACTAAGGGCCAAGGACCAAGGACAGAGTCCAGAGCAGCTTCAGGCTGAGAACTCGCAGACTGCCAGGTAGGCATTGGTGCAGGAGATGTCATTCCAGAGCCCGTCCCTCAGCATAAGGACACAGTCCTCCCCCGTGCCGTGGTCATTAGGCTCATCTTTCTTCCAGTTGCTATAGGCCAGCTGCCCTCCTGTCACGTACATGAACTGGCCTTCAGTCACCTCATCCGTGATGCCCAGAAAGACATTGTCATTGGCCACCTCTTGGATAGCTTTGTTCTCCTCAGCATTCCTGGGGGTGGCCACAGTGGCCCCAAGCTCTGTGCATAGATTCTTCACCTTGGCAAAAATTGTCTTTTCACCATTCGTCACGTAGAACTTTTTCCCAGACTTTTTGCCCAAAGAGAAGTCTTGCACTGAAATCATAAAAAACAGATGAGGCTGACAGTCTGGACCCTACTGAAGACTGAAAAAGTCCCTCTCTGAGAATTTAGGACTCTGCAAATAGCCTCATGCCCAACCCCTTCAGGCCAGAGCCTCGGAAGAAAGAAGGTGCCACCTGCAGAGCCAGAGAAGGGACACCAGGAAACCAGCCTGGATTCTCCCGCGGAATCCCACACTTAACACCAACATCCATTAAAAACTGTCCCAGCAGGTGGATATAGCAGGATGTGCTTGGGCCTCACCACCAGGTGTAGTAGGCACAGTGGATGTGGAGGAAGGAACAGAGTTTGGAGACCACAGCACTTCATTCACCTCTGCCTCTCATCCTTGCTAGTTAGGTGATGTTGAAGGAGTTCCTTACACTTCATGAACTTCTTATTCCTTGCCTTGTCCATAAATATAACAATAACCACTATCAGGTGGTAAAAGAACTGAATAAAACCATATTATTAGAGAATGCAAACCAAGCACAAGCCCAGGCCCTGTAAGTACATATTCATAAGTATCTGCTCTTTGCCATTCTTCCCAAATGTAGTTTATATTGAAGAAAATTGTGAGTGCCAAAAACAATTGGGAGCAGAGAAAAAGCTTACACTTTTTGATGTGGTCCAGTTCTGATTTCAAGTTTCTTATTTCTCTTTCTAAGTTAGCCAGCTTACTATTGACAACTGCAAAATAACAGAAAATTTGGCATTTATTGAAAAGAACTTAAATTATAAAGCAAAACATTAGAAGAAAACTGGCTTAATAAAAAGTAAGCTTATTTCAGAAAAATAAGAAAGCTAAAAGAGGCAAGTATAAAAATAAATAAATAACTGTATTCCTGCCTCCCCAGATATATAATAGCTACTCGCAAAAACTTGTGTGTATTCAGTAGTTCTGGATCTTTTCTTTCTATAGTGCTTAAATGTTATTATGTTGTAATAATTTATAAGATAATATCCAGCTCTTTCTTTTTGAAAATTATCTTTGTGATTCCTTTTCATTTCTTATTCCAGGTAAATTCTTTAAAACTTTTATTATTTTACAGGCTGGTGGACAAATATTAAGCAGAGGGTGGTTGTTTTTCTTTGTCTTCACACAATTTTACCTTACACTGAGTTGCTACGCTGTTTGCTATTACCAAGGGTTTCATGGGGCAGACCGTTTTCATGCTGCTCCTGGAACGCTGGGCACAAGCACAATACCAGAAAGAGCCCATTTTCTTTCCTGCAGCTGGAGCCACACACTGTGTTTTCAGCTGAATAAAAGCCAGGTCCCACCTCCTTCTGAGGTCCAATGAGGCAGTGGCCCTGCAGCATCTGGAAGTCAGGCCCCAAGGGACACTAGGCCAGGAAGCAAAGTCTAGCATCTTTCAATGAAACCACAAGAAAGGGGGCTTCTCCCACCTGCCCCCAAGTTCCCAGGGTCCTGGACCCCTCAGGCAGCGGTGCTCCTCACCGGAAATGTCTCCACTTTCTCCTTTTTGGCCTTTGATTCCTGTAAGTCCAGGATTCCCTGTTTTCCCTGGAGGCCCAAGCTTCCCGGGAGGCCCCTGCAAGCCTCTGAGCCCTTGACCTGTTGAGACACCAAGGAAACACGACCAGGAGTCTATTGTAGTTTTCCTTCTCCAGAAGCTCACCTTGATTCACACTTATCTTCGGGACAATTACACATCATTGATTCCTATGTGGAAATGTGGGAGCCATGGGAGTCTGAGTACCCTGGCCTGACTCAGAATAATCACAGTGAAAGCTGAGCTTCCCCAGGTCTCTGTGCTCATCCTTACACAGGACAGCACCCTGACGGAGCCAGAGACTTAGAAAGCCAGAGCACTCTGTCCTTACCTGGGTCTCCCTTCTCCCCCTTGGGTCCGTCTCGGCCATCCCGGCCTGGGGTGCCATTAGTGACGGGGATGCCACAGGTGATCACGGAACAGGCCTTCTGGCTTTCTTCACAGGCTTTTATTTCTGAGGGCTTTGCTTTTACCACACACAGGAGAAGTATGGGGAACAATGGAAACAGCAGCATGGTTCTTACTTGGAAAAGAGAAAGTCAAAGGAAAGAATTCCCACTCATTTTAGTTAGTCAACATCTGCTACCTCCCGTGGTGTGCTGCCTTCTGTGCTGGGGACAGCAGACTGGGAGAGAAATATTCTACCCCAGGCTGTTAGGAAAACAGGCAAGTAAAAAATATGAGCATCAGAGCAGTGGTGAAAACAGGCAGATGCAACAGGGACATGGCCCATTCTCCTGCAGGTCCCAGGGCCTCCACTAGCATAAGGCTTAGTGGTTAGGTATCATGTCGCCAGGAATCCTGTACAATATGTGAATTATAAACTGGCCCTGCTCCTGGCAGTCTGGTACAAAGTTAGGGAGCTCACAGGCTCCATTATTTCTCCACTTCCTTTCTTGGCCCCCGGAGCCTCGTTCTCCCTCTTCTTTCCACTTGTACCGGCCCTAGAGTTAGACCAAATGGTAGCAGGTGACTGACACCACAAGATCCACTTCTTAGCCAGACATGGTGTATGAAATACACTCTCCCATTTCAGATAAAATCTCTGTTTCACACACCGACCAGGCTCATGCATGCTCAGAGCCACAGTTTCCACAACAGCTTGTAAACCATTTTATGCAGTGCCTCTTTTTTATGACAGGAACTTGCTGGGGGCTCAGCGTCCAAAGTGCCCTAAGGCAGGATCTGACCCTCAAAATGGAAAGATTTTTGGTCACTGACCCTGTCCAGATGAGACATCCCCTGGTTCAAGATTTCCCACCACCGGGCCATGTCTGCCAGGCAGAACCTAGGCTCCTGAAAATCCTGTTCACTCAGGCGTGGTGGGCGTCTCCTCTGGGCAGTGCACAGATGCTCCAAGTTCTTTTTTGTTTTGTTTTGTTTTTGTACGGGAGATCAAACTCGGGCCCTTGCACTTGCGAGGCAGGTGGCAGAAGCACGGAGCCAAATCCCCTGCCCTTCAAGTTCTGAGCCCCCCTCTCTCCACCAGTCAGGTTCCTATCACCTTTGGTGGAGCTGAGCTGGCCTCTCTTCCAGCCCTGCCTCCACAGAGTTCCATCTCCACTCTGCTCAAGCCTCCGTTACCAATGTGTCCGACCCTATTGCCCTGGCCCTTGCCTGCCTTGGCCTGTGAACCTTCCCCCACTCCTGCACTTGGTGGTGCGAGATGCCCAGATGGAAGGGACCTTTCATTATGATCACATTCTTCTCCACCTTTCCCCTATCTTTTACTTCACCTGTTGGTGCTGGAGATAACAGGCAGAGCTGAGCTTGTTGCTGGTATACACATGCTTCACTTCTAGCCCTCCCCTTGAAACAAAATGCCCCTTAGTACGCAGATGGTCAGCTGGATCCAAGAAAGACACAGATGACCCAGATTGATAGAAAGAAGCTCAGGTGGACCTGTTGACCCCACTACAGCCCCTGCCTTCACCTCACCAGGTTCAGGCTGGAAGGCCAGGCTCTCCACCCAGGGCCCCACCTCTTTCCTCCAGAAATGACTTACGAGAGCTTCTGTAGAACACAGAGATGGTGGCAGGGGTGACAACCCTTCAGCACAGGCTTCTGGCAACTGTTTCCACGATGCTGGGCCAAATTAACCTGGTGAGCAGGAGGAGCACTGCACTGGCCTTTAACCCCAGATTAATAAACAACCACCCCTAGGACTGCTGCAACAGCGCAGGTCTCCAGCATGGTGCTGGGCAGCTCTCTACTTCTACACCCTCAAGCTCTCCTTCAGCTACCCTCTCCCACATTCCATCCCTATGGCTCAGCTGGCCTAATCCTCTAAAGTATTAAGCTCTTGACATATTCTTTCTAGATATTTATTGCCCCCAAATACATAAGCACTGTACCAAACACACATATGGTCACGTGCATACAAACACACATACACATTTTGACGTAGAAAAGAAAATGTTCAAGGGAAGGGAAAGAGGGAGGAAAAGGGAGGGGATGAGGATAAAAAAAGAATGGAAGGAAAACAACAGAAACGAAGTTTTGTAAAGGCAGGAGGAGAAGACTTGAAGGGAAGGGAGAGAAGTAGAAAAATGAATTAATATATATCAGGTACAGGTACAAATTCATCATGATGAATGTGGTCATTATGTATATTAAAAGTACAGAAATAAAAATTCGTTTTAAAAATAAATGAATAAAATAAAAAAGCACACACACACACACACACACACAGAGTGCACTTCTGTTTCAGTTTTTCTGACTAGTTTGCCACTCTGTTTGTGCTTTATTTATTGTAGGGCTGGAATGGGGAGGTTAAAGACCTACAACCCTCGGTCACCTGGCTCCTTCTCATTCAGAGAAGAGTACTTTCAGGTGTCATCTTGGCATTCATGGAGCTGGGCATGAGGGGTGAAATATTTGTAGAGAACTTAAATTCAAAGCTGAGTGTGAGCATTTGCACAATTGTCCTCTCTGATAGATATTTCCCCCTAACTGCACCTCGTCAGTTGTTGGCATTTAGATTTTAGCTTAAATACTGTCTGAGGAGGAAGGATGGTTCCAACCATTTAATTTGAATAAACTGCTCTGTTGATAAATTGTCACTTTAGTGTTCACAAGAGCCTGATGGAACACGTGAGACCCCTGCATGATGACCTCAGAGCATCCGCCTGGCTGCTCTATGGCTACAGGTCATGTATTTATCAGTGCTGTGCCTGTTCTTGGGGAAGGGCTAGGTTTAATTCACTTCCTTTTCCCCAAAGTGCAACCCAGAAGTAGGCACATGGGAAGGTCCTGGTGAGACTGGGGAAAGAAGAAGGGTCCTGGAGCAGAACAGATGCCAGGCCAGTCTGCAGCTCCTCCGGGCCTCCTTTCTGGAGTGTCCAGGGCTTATCACCAGAGGCTGTTGTGACCTTGGATGTCTCCCTTTCCTCAAACTCACATTCACTGCTTGAAACACTTCATCTCATCAAACAACTCAAGATGTTTGCTTTTTTCTTGGTAGGGATCAGGGACAGGTCACTTCCCTTTGACTCTGTTTTATGATTGGTATTTCGGCTTCTCAAGGGACATCAGCTTATGTACCTTCAAGTCACTATACCTTGCCCAGCACCCCTCCCATTCCTGTCACAGAAGCCTGCCAGATACCAAGAGAGCCCCATTGTTAAGAAGCCAACTTTCAATGCTGTTTCCTAACGTCCTGGATACACTCGTGCAGGGTCTATTAATTCAATTTGCCAATGTTCAAAGGACAAAGGACATTGAATCTATATATCAAATAGGTGATTTCCCAAAAGAGTGGGAATTTGAAATGGAGGGATGCACATAAAACCAGGACCCTAAGCATTCTATAGACTCAGAGATCTGGTGGGAAGAAAATTCTCTCTTAGGAATATAGATCCATAGGGCTGTAGTTGCATAAGATCTAGGGTTTGAATTCATGATGGTATTGTTATTATCACTGTTTGCTACTTACGCTAAGATGAAAAACTGTGTTTCAGATGGCCCAGTTTGTCACAGCCTAGTTCACTGTGCAGACATAAAAGCAAGAGACCCTTACCTTTAACCGAAACACTCCAGGATTTTCTCAGGGAGAGTAGACAAATAGTGTTCACTCTCTAAAAAAATCAGCAAACTGTGCAGGAGATCAACAGAGTGAGAGCTGACAGAAACAAGCCTCGGAAATAGTCCTACAAAGACCATGGACTTCCTATGACAGGTAATTAACACATAGCCAGCCCCCGGTCTGTGGGGTCTATATCTGCAGATTCAGCCCTTTTATTATCAAAACTCTCATTAGGACAATGGTGGTTATGACTCTGTTGAACACATTGGACTCTTTTCTCGTCATTATTCTTTAAACAATGCAGTATAACAACTATCTACATATAGTTAAGTGTTATAAGGAATCTAGAGATGATTTAATATATATGGAAGGTGGGTATAAGTTATATGCAAATACTGTACTTTTATATAGCAAATTGAGGATCTGTGGAGTTTAGTATATACAGGGGTATGGAAATTAATTCCCTCTAGACATCAAGGGATGGCTGCATTTTTAAAAAGGAGGTGTAATTAAAAAATAAATAAAAACTAAATGAATGATCTAGGATAATGAAGCAACTACAATTAGTTATGAAATAATTGTTTCTTTGGAAAAATACCCGTACATTTTGCAAATGTGACTATGATACTTTGAATTATATTGTCTCCAATTTCTTGCTTACTCCTCATTATATAAATATACATGCATATTCTTTGCTATAGTACTTTCCAGAGGCTCCCACTGGGTGATGTAGAGAAAATACCCCAGCGCTGTGGATATTTGGCTTGGCCAAGTGACCAGAACAGATAAGAAAGGTGAAGCAGACTCAAGCTTGCTTACAGGAAAAATATGATCTTTTGTGTTTCTTTCCAACCGCAGAAAGACTATGCCCCCAGTAGTCATTAACATCAGGATAATTACATGAAACAGAGTAGACGCAAATTCACCTGAAAGCCCAGAGTCCAGCCCACTGCAGCTGAGTCCAGGAAACCTGAGATCAGCATACTGGTTGACCCAGAACAATAAACAAAAGCGTGTGTCGTCATTGCCACCTGATTTAGAGACTTACTGTTGCATAGACTGAATGATGCATTACCAACAATTAAAGGAAAAAGTATGAGAGATAAACAAATTAGGAAGGAAAGGAAGCATTATACTCATATAGATGGTGTCTTAGTCACTTTCCCACTTCTGAGACACAATATCAACACTTGCAGTTTAAAGGGAGGAGAAGTTTATTTTCAGCTCACAGTTTCAGAAGCCTCAGTCCATGTTCAACAGGTTAAACACAGGAAGGGCCTGGTGGAAGGGCCTGGGCAGAGGAAAGATGCTCACATCATGTTGGCCAGGAAGCAGAGAGGAAAATGATAGATCCTTCCAGATCATGTCCTCCAATCGCTCCCTTTTCTGCCCTGACCCCATCTCCTAGCAAGTTAGCTATAAACTACCATGATTAAATTATCTTCCAAAAGCTCTGTCAGTGAGTTCATGAGGCCTTTGGGGGAACATTTTCTTTTTTCAATCTTATTGAGTTTATTGGTACTTTTTAAGTATACAATACAGCTACATTCAACATGGGGATCTTGTACCCCTACATGACACATTGGTTCTAATTTCCCCATACCCGTACCCTCCCTTCACCCCCTCCACCCTCCCCTATTTACAAAGACTTTGTTTCCATTTTTTCCTTTTCTCATATTTTTCTTGTCTCTTTTTTTCCTGTCCCCTACTTTTCCCACTTCCCCTACACCTTTAACCCTTTTCTTCTTATTTCACATTATCAGTTATACAATTTGTATACAGTTATATAATTTACACTTTTAGTTTTTCACACCAGAGAAACTATTTGGTATTTATACATGTGTGTCTTACTTATTTCACTTAAGAGTATGGCCTCAATATGCATCCATTTTCCTATGAATGACTCTAGTTTCTCCTTCTTTGTGCCTGAGTATACTTTATTTTATAGAAAATCCACATCTTTATCCAGTCTCCAACTGATGGCAACTGGGCTGTTTCCAAGTTTTAGCTATTACAAACTGTGCCGCTATAAACATATATATCACTGTGCTGTGATTCTTTTAATTCTTGATGACACTCTATATTGTTGTTTTGTTTTGGGTTTGTTTTTTTTTGCTACCGGGGATCGAACTTGGGCCCTTGAGCTTGAAAGGCAGACGGCGGAACCACTGTGCTAAATAGCTGGCCAACACTCTGTATTGTTTGCCAGTATCTTGTGGAGGACTTTTGCATCTATGTTCATTAAGGAGATTGGCCTGCAGTTCTCTTTTTTGGTTGGGTCTTTCCCTGGTTTTGGAATCAAAGTAACACTTACTTCCAGGAATGAATTTGGAAGTATTGCTTCCCTTTTAATTTCATTGAAAAAAATTAAAGAGTAGTGGCAGTACTTCTTCTCTAAGTATTCTGTAAAATTCAGCAGTGAATCCATCAGAACCTGGGCTTCTCCTCATTGGTAAACTTTTAATTACATATTCAATTTCACTGATTGTATTGGGGGTGTTTAGAATTTTTTTATCTTCTTTGTTCAACTTTGGTAATTTACAAGTATGAAGAAATCTGTCCATTTCTTCTGTTTTCCATTTTATTAGAGTACAGTTTCTTGAAGTAGGTATTGATGATCCTCTGGATTTCTACTGGATCTGTTGTGACTTCACCTTTTTCATTCCTAACTGCATGGATCTAAGCCTTTTCTTTCCTTTTTTTTTTTTTTTGAAAAAGTTGGCTAAGGTTCTATCAATTTTATTTATTTTTTCAAAAAACCAACTCTTTGATTCACTAATTTTTTGTATCATTCTCTTAGTTTCCATTGCATTGATTTCTGCTCTGATCTTTATAATTTCCTCCCTTGTACGACCTTTGGGTTTGTCATGCTCTTCTTTTTCTAGGAGCCTAAGTTTCATCATTAGGTTGTTTATTTGAGCTCGCTCTGTTTTCCTAGTGTGGGAATTCACTGCTATAAATTTTCCACAAAGAACTGCTTTCATTGTGTCCCATAGATTCCTGTATGTTGTATTGGCATTATCATTTGTTTGTAAAAACTGTCTAATTTCTTCTTTAATTTCCTCTGTGACCCATTGATTGTTC